TGGGCCATGGCATCCTGGTGAGAGGCCTGACTGGAGGTGAGAGGGGACAGAGGACTTTAGGCTGAGGGCTGGTGCACAGTGTGCTGGGCACTGCCCAGCACCCTACCCCTCACCTCGCTGTCACAACAATTCTGTGGCAACATCATGAGACAAGAGTCCTGAGCTCCAAGAGTTCCCATTCAGAGCTGGGGTCTGAACTCAGGTGAGGTGGGCTTCGGAGCCCACATTCCCTCCCCTCCCACCAAAATCCTGCTTCCAGCAGCTAAGCAAGCAGTGCCCTGTGCTGTGCAGGCAGTTTCTTTGCAGAGGCCTTATCTGGGGAGCTCTGAACCGAGCAGAACCTCACCTGGGGGCACTTGTGAATAACCCCGCACAGCCCCTGGGACCTCTCTGAAGATGTGGAGATGGATGTTCTGGCGGCCATAAGACGGCAACAGGAAAGGACCACCGCCAGGCCCAAGGGCGGGACTTTATGAAGCAATGTGCTGCTGTTAAGTACACACAGTGGGAGGTGTCTGTTACCAAACAGCTGTGTTTGGAATGCCGTGGCTGCTTGTTGGTTAATGGTTCTGCATCAGGCATCATCAAGAGCACTAGATATGTCCCCAGATCTGTGGCCAAGTTGACACCCAGGGCCTGGGCAAAATCACGATCAGCCTCCAGGATGGCGGCATGCCCCAGGCAGGGTGAGCTTTAACTCAGGCTCTTAGTGGAGCCAGGGGTAAACAACCTGCCCTTCAAGTTGGCAACTGCTGCTCAGCAAAGGTCTGAATGAAGCAAACCAAGGAGTCAGTGGTGCCATCGGCGGCGCAATCAGGACCCAGGTGTGTGGTGGCCTGGAGAGCATCTAGCATACCTGGCACCCAGGCAGAGCTACTGCATGAGAAAGGGGGTATTTCTCAGAATCAAGACCAGTGTTCCATTTCAGAAAGCGAAGGGCCCCAACCTGGGAATACAGCTAATAGAAGAGCCATAGAAATGAAGTTTGACAGCTATGAGGGGGTTGTCCAGGAACACTGACTTCCAAAGGGCAGACAGCCAGCCAGCCTCCGTCCCCATTCTCAGGGGTGACTGGGTCAGCCGGTGTCCACCCACCCCAGGGACCATCACAAGGTGACCAAAATGACCTGGGGGACATTCACAAAAAGAGCAAAAGGACAAGCTGTGGGCATAGATGCTCTAACGGTGTGCAGGAGGCGGTGGAGTGACCAAGCCTAGGTAAGGCCGCCGGGCCAATGCTGGGCTGTCACTCACCCAGTGCAACCCTGAGCCAGGTGCCCAGATATAAAGTAAGAGGACATGATCCCCACCTCCTGGACCTGAAGCACCTGGAGTCTTGGAAGGAACAGTCAATGGTATGTGTACACTACAGCTGGGAAGAAACACACAAAATAGCTTTTGTTTCAGAGTGGCAGAACTGTGGATGTCCACTCTCCAATTTCTCTTTACTTTTGGCATAAATACTGTTTTCCACTCTTAAAAAACTCACCCAGCAAGGGAACAGGTTTGTTGTAACAGCAGCCTGTGCATGGCACTGTGGGGAGCCCTTTGCCTGCAATGGCTCTTTCCCACGCAGATGAAAACCATTTAATAGGGAGATGGGCGCTGGGGACTCTGGGGCCTGCACCGCAGCTCAACTCTCCCTCCACCTAAGCCTGCATCTTCCCCCTCCCTTCCACAGGGCTGATCCCTAATAGGCATCTTGCACCCCAAGTTCCATCTCAGCATCTGCTCCTGGAGAAGGCAACCCGCCACAGTGGGGAAAGGTTTGGTTGGGCTCAGCACAGGAAGCTCTGTGTTCTGCTCAGAGTGACTGAGCTGGCAGGAGCTGCACAGGTGCTTGGGGGAGCGTCTGAAGAGGGAGACGCCCAAAGCGGGGAAGGCTTGGATGGTTGATAGTTGCTAGTATCCTTTCCACCCACGATTCATGAGGGCTCCTGCCTTGTACTCTGCTGCTCCCGAAAAGGGGAAAAGAGAAAGTTCCTAGAGCAGTGCTGGAGCACACTGGGCACAAGGAGGGAGCAAAGGCCTTCGGGACAGACTGCTGCAGAGGGTGTTTCACTAAAACCCAGGTTTGCCTGGGTCCAGAAGGCCCGAGAAACCAAAGGTAAGGTCCATTGTGAAGTGCAGGGCAGGCAGTGAGCAGGCCAGGTTCAAGCGTGGCGCCAGCAGCAGCGATGGGCAGCGGCAGCTGGGAAAGGCAGATGCCCTGCGGCAGAGATGGAGCACCCGGAGGAGATCCCCTGCCCCCAGTGCCAGGCCAGAGGACACCAGCTCCACTTGCTCTGCTCTGAGAAATTCAACCGGGCCATGTGAGTGTGCTGGGCAGTCACTACTGTGATAGGGCATTTACTACCTGTGCCTAGTTTCCCAACAGGATCCTGCCAAGCAACGACTTCCTGTCACCTAATCAGTGCCAACCCAGGGTCTGTCTCTCTGGCCAACTGCCCTTTCTCGTTCTTCAAACGTCCCACAGAGAAGCTGGCAATGGCGTCTGGCAGGAGTCTCTGGGAGGAGGTTCTGATTCCGGACCTTACCGAGGAAGCAGCTAGATAAAGCAAAGACCACAGCCGCCCCTACTCGCTCCTGCTACCCTGACGCACCGTGGCCCCTGCCCACACCCTGGCTGCTCGGGCAGGCTCGCCACATGCCCAGGCTGCTTGCCCTCTCCTGCAGCCCACCGTTGTCCCCCACTCTGCCCATGGCCACCCTAAAGGTCTCAGCATCAGAGGTGCCTTTGAGGAGCCACAGCGGCACCCCTACTCCTGTATGCCACCCCATTATCTTCTCTGTAGTATTGTCACAACAGACTTGCTTTATTGGGCTTGATTGCATGTTTATAATCTGTCTGCCCCTATGAATGTAGCGCCATGGGGGGGTGGGCCCCACTGCCAGGGGCACCATCTCCCTAGTGCCTCCTGGGTGAGTGGGGAGAGAATGAAAGAACACAGAACATGCCACTCCCTCCACAAATGCTGAATGCCAGCAGAAGAGGTCTAGCTAGGAAGTCCCTAGGAGCTCTTAAGCCTGGGGTACAGCTGTTAAGAATTGCTACATCATCTGCTTTCCAAAAAAAGCTGGAGGAGGCTGTCAGCACCCAACCCCCACGCAGCAGAGGCTGTAAAGATGGCTCTGGCAGCTGCACCAGAGAGGCGAACCCAGGGGCAGGGACATGGCCAGGAGGCTTCTGCAAGATATAGCCAGAGGGGATGGGCCCGGAGAAAGCAAGGCCCTGGGACAGAGGAGGGAGGCCTCCTGAGCATCCGGAGGATGTGCATGGTGGACCATGCTGACGATGACAGGAGAAGGCAGGGGTGAGGGAACCTGACAGTGGAGTGAGAGTCACTACACTGGCCCTCACAAGTCAAAGGCGATGAGCCTGTTGGCTCCTGTCCTTCACCCACAGCCAGTACCCGAGCCTGTGGTCCCGCTGTGGGAGCAGCCTCCACACCTGTTCCTCCCTCGATTCCTCACCACCTCTCACCTGGAAAGCTGGACCACTCTTGGACTGACCCCACCTCCTGCATTTGCCTCTCTCATCCCTCCCAGCACTGCCACCCAATCTGTCTTCATTGGGCCCACCAACCCTCAAGGACCTCTGCAGACCCTGGGGAGATGCAATTCCTCTCCCAACCTACGCGGCCCAGTGCCCACTCACGCGGTGAGTCTTGCTGTAGGTGTAGAGGAAGGCCAGCCGGTAGAGGCTCTTGTAGTGCTGGGGGAAGCGGCTGAGGCACAGGCGGAAGGCGGCGATGCACTGCTCCGTGAGGAACTGGCGCTGCTCCTCCGCACCGGCTGGCAGCCCCTGCGGGAAGGCTGCTGGCTCCCCCGGGGGGTCGCCTCTCTTTTTCCCGTCCCACAGGGCAGGTGCAGATGCTGGGGGCTTGACAGGGATGCTGGCAGAGGCTGGGGGATCTGCAGCAGGCTTCTGGCTGCCTTGCTCTGTGGCCCGGAAGCCTTCTGTGCTCTCCAAGGACTCCTCAGTTTTTCCTACAGTTGAGAAGAAAAAGAAAGTCACCTCAGTTTTAGGCCTTGCCTTGAGGTAGTCCACCATCAGCAACAGAGGCACCTCAGAGGTCAACAGAGGTGACCGGCGTAGCTCCCAGTCTCCTCCCCTGTGAAGCAGGATGTCCCAGCTGGCACACAGCAGAAGGTCCCCAAGGCTGCAGAGAGCGGGGTTGGAGCTGGGCTCTGGGTCCCCCTCTGTATGATGGCCCAGGGCTGTCCCACCTCCAGGGCCTATGCAGGTGGACAGGGAAGCGGCCCACAAAGGGCAGGTGTGGCCACCATGGCCACCACAGAATGGAACAGCCGGGAAAGGCACACAAAGGGCTGCACCTGCTCTGCCACTCAGCGCCTCAGCCCACAGTCCGCCCAACATCCCTCTCCAGGGCGGCGGCTGCTGCTTCTGTGTATGAACCAGGAGAGCAGGGCAGGAAGCACGAAAGAGCCCGGGCTGGGCGGCAGGGGCTGCAGGAGATGGAGACTGTCTGGTCTGGCCCGAGAGGAAGGGAAGGAAGGGAGTGGGGGCAAGCGTCAAGGGGGAGGTAGTCCCCTGGGCACCCAGGAGTTTGGCACAGCCTGCCTGGAGGAGGCCCGAGAAGCAGCCAGGCACCAACTCTGAAGCCTCCATTGCTGTGTGCTGAGCCCCTGGCTGCCCTCAGCCTCGCGGCCCTTTTCCTACTGGAGCAGCAGGCAGGTAAAGGCTGGGACAGGGCAGAGTGGATAAGGACTGAGGCCCCCAGTTCCCCTCAAGCCAAGTCCAGGTGTAACTATGCATATCAGGTGTGCATCAAGCTTGCCCACCACTGCTCTTCTTGCTAAGGAAAGAATCGAAGTAGTCACTCCCTATGACTCCTTTGGCTGCCAAGACAAAGCCAAGCTCCTCCCAAGGCATGCGAGGCCACTTGCCATCGGTCCTGCCATCCCTCCTGGCCCCACGCCCTGGGGGCCACTGGGAACACCTCACTCCGTTTTGCTGCCTCCCCACTGTGTCCCTTCCCTGGACACAGACTCCCTCTCCTCCTCCGTCCCCTGCCTTCACCCATGAGCTCTCATCCCTCGGGATTCTACTCAGTGTCCGCATCTCTTTCAGGCCCCACCCCCAGGTGGTATATGCAGAGCACTTCCTGGGCCCACCTGTCTGATGTCACTGATCCCACTGGGTTTTTGCACGTGAGTGTCTCCCCCTCCCCTGTCGCCCAGAGCCTAGCACAGGGCCTGGGGGCCATTTGAAGCTGACTGGATGACTGAGGAACAGGTCATGTCTGATCTCGACACTGCTCTCCTCTCATGAAAGCTCAGGAAACCGTGTAGGTCCCATGCACATCCACTCATAGCCCCACGACAGCAACCACGTGCCTGCTTAGAGCTGGCACACATCTGAGAGGAGATACCACTGCTTTTCTCAAAAATGTGCCAGTTTCTAGTGTGTTCAATTCAAAGGATACATTTCAAATGTGGCTCAACAGACGTGGTCTGAGCAATGGCTCTGGGCCCGGCCCTGTGCTAGGCACAGGAGAGGGGGAAATTAGATGAAGATGCAGGCCTCTCGAGGGTTCAAATAAGGCACTAAGTGCTCAGACACAAAGACAAACAGGAACACACTTCTTATGAAAAGTGGGTAGGTTGGTCAAGAATTAATCCAGAGAGCTCAGAACACACGCCTAAGGACACATAAAGAACAACAAAACAGTGCATTAAAAACCCAGTCACTCTGGGTTCTGGGTAGCCTGAGGAGGCCCAGAAGAGATGGGTGACATGCCTCACCCACAGCATCCATTCCCACTGCTAAATGGGCCTCACAGGTCACCTTAGTGTTAAGGCACAGGGTCAGAAATGTCAACGAGTCCACACAATGCTTCCCAGGCAGGATGTCCAATTCAAACCCTGGCAGCGTGAAGATGGACTTCCTCCTATTGACAGAAAGCAAGTAAGCACATCCTGTGGCCACTTTGTCCTAGGCCAGTGCCTGCTGCTGGCAATGAGGACTGGCTTGGAACACCCACAGTGCATGTGCCGAGTGAGCAAAACTCAGGAGCTGACCAATCCAGCTCACCCCACCCTGCCCTGCACGAGGCACTCAGGCACGGTCACCAGGCCTCTACTTGACCAGAAGGGACAGGGGCAGGTGTAGCCACAGGATGGTGGTCCCCGAACGACATGCCTGGTGGTTATACTAGAATCCTCGGCCCGTAGCCTGCCTTGGGCCCAGCTGGCAGGGAGAGCCAGACCAGGCACCCGTGTCCACTGCCTGGACCACACAGGTTGTTGACAACTTTGCAGCCCTCAAAGCAATGTAACAGAGCAGGCTTGTGTTTAGGTGGTGAAATTGTGGGTGGCTTTTTTCCCTATTAAAAAAATAAATCTTTACTGTTGCTACACTCACATTTTAGACTTTTTGTGAAGCTCTGACTCCTGAAAAGGTGAGCTTCATCTAGCTGCAACAGTCACCTATGGGGAAACCCCTTTCCTCGAGGTACATGGGCACAGACCAGAGTGGAAAATTAAATAAGGAAGGTGAGTCCTTGGGAAGAGGGATAGCTCATGCCTGCTGGACAGCATGGGACGAAATGCACCTCAGTGCCAGGCAGGGCACGGCTTTCAGATCCATTGCCTGGCACAGACCTGGGCTCCACTATACCCCACTGCTCAACTACGGACATGAAATGTGTGAGTGAGGCCTGCGCCCTATGACATGATCATAAAAGCAGCAGCAGGCTGGTGGCAGCTCACTCAAAAGGGTGTGTCTTGAGGGCTAAGGGTGTGGAGCACACTCAGGGCACACGCTCAGCACTGGCCTGGCACCACATCCTGGCTTTCTGCAGGGGACCAAAAGCTGCTAGAGCCCTGGGGCCCTGGGGGCTATGGCTACTGCCCATTGGGAGCCCAGAAGAGTGCAGGTCAGAAACCGCCACTGACCAGCGCCAGGCCTGGAGGGCACTCGGCTCCTCTTGCTCTCTGCCAGGAGTGGCTCAGAACGCATTCCTGCTGCACCTACTCTTATGACAGGAAGTTCAACTGCACCACCCAGGAAGAGCCGGGCTTAGAGGGGAGGAACGTGCTCGTGGAAGCAGGGTGCTTCCTTTCCAGCCCACCAACTACTGCAGTGACTTTGGTTCATTTTTTTTTCCCCATTTTTAAATTAAATTTATTGGGGTGATCCTGGTAAATAAAATTATATAGGTTTCAAGTGTACAATTCTATAATACATCATCAGTAGATTGTATTGTGTGTTCACCACCCAACGTAAATCTTCTGTCACCATAAGGTTGACACCTAACTTTCTTCACCAATGGCCAGCTCCACACACTGTCTGTTTAACCCACTGGCTCTGAATGGAAGGAGGGAAGAGGCGGTGTGCTCCTTGTGTGTCTGGAAAGGACTGCACAGGCTGGGCCAGACCAAAGCTGACCCTCTCTGAGCTCAGAAACACCCCCAAGCCTCCCCGCCACATGCTTCCCCAAACGGCGGAGAGGCCTGTGACACACAACAGCACCCACAGCAGTTTGCTGCTTGATGGGTCACAGAGCACAGAAGAAAGGCCTCTCTTGTCCAACAGTAAAAAATCTTTTTTTTTCCCCATCTCGATGTGGCCTCTTCTTTATATCCCTAGTTACAGGGGTTCTGTTCAGCTAGTCTTCAGATGATTCTTGAGGTTGATTGCTCTATAATTTAGTTGTAATTTTAATGTGATCCTGGGAGATGGCAGGCAAAGCATTTACCTATTCTGCCATCTTGGAACTTCTCTCCAAAATCATCTTATTTTTAAGACTGGACATGAACAACAATCGCTGTATTAAGAGTATTGGGAATATAGGTTACTTCTTCCTTCCCCTTCCAAACTATTGGGTTGTCGGAAAAGTCATGATGCATGTTTGCAGCGAAAAACAGAAAAAATACTTCATGACTTTTCCAACAACCCAATAGTATGTTTGTCAGCTGTAGAATGTCAACATTGGTTTGAGATAGCATAATGACTACCTCATGAGAAACTGGGCATTGGGCTCATCTCTTGATGGGGGCCCAGGGCAGGTAAATCCATGGCCCCTGTTCTGTGTCCCCTTGATCCTAATGGAACACCTTTTCCAACCTCAAGGGCATACAGCCTCATCCCCTTTTACCTCCCCAGGTAGGGAAGGCTGGCAAGGAGCAGAGAGCTGACAGAGGCCTTCCCTAGTGCAAATGACCCTGGCTCACTGCCACACCTACACGTGAGCTTCTGAACCCCAACTCTCCTATCCAGAGCCTGTGCAACAACTTCCTGGGGCTAGGCCAGGGACCCCGGGATAGGCAGGTTATCACCAACTCCACCTGCTCCATGCAGCCCACCTAGAGAGGCAGCATGGGGTAGTAGTTAAGGGTGCAGACCAACCGTGGGTAAATTCCTGCTCCGGCTCCGAATCTCAGGTTCCTCACCTGGAAAATGGGAATCATCAGAGTGCTGTTTTCCTAGGGTGGTTGGGTCAGAACAGTGCCTGGCACGGGACCCCCGGGCATGGGTCTGGGTTGTTCCTGTTACTGTATGGCAAACACCTGTGTGCCCTGGCCCTGGCCAGAGTAGGAAAGCTTTCAAAATGCATGGTTGGCCAACCAGCCACAGTCTCAGAGCAGTACCAGGGATGCCCGGTCTACCTGCATCTCCCAGCAAGCCCAGATGTGGAGCTCTGCCCATTCATTTCCACAAAGGGGACTTGGGGACCCCATAAGAGCTGGGCATACCCCAGGGTAAGATCAGCACCCCTCCCACCACCAAAAAAAGGAGTTTGTTGTTTGTTTGTTTTTTTACCTAAAGGCCTGATATGATCCAGACTAAAAAGAAAACGCATTGTGACATTTAAGATCCAAAGACTTTTTTAATAACCATTTATCAAGAAAAAAAAAATGGGGGCACTCATGTCATGGACATGGCTTTCACATACTAGGCTGTGGTGGGGTCATAACAACAACGACAAGTGTCACTGAGTGCACACTATGTACCAGGCACCATACAAGCCCCTTCCTGAGTCACCTCATTTAATCCTCACAACCCTGGGAGTGGCCTTGCGATTACTCCCATCTATGGGGAAGATGACGGAGGCCCACAGAAGTGAGTAACTTGCCCAACTGAGCTCCCAGGGCAGCGGGGGCAGGCGTGAGGATAGAAGCTAGGCAGGGCCTAGCCACTCTGGAGCCCATGTTCTTCAGTGCTGCCCAGACTGCACAGGACATCAAAGCACCGAGTTAGGTCTTCATACCTCTTTCCTCTGTGGCCCCTGGAAGGTCTTTACCGGTCGGTCCTGGTTGAGAACTGGGAATGGGCGGCCTCTTTTCAGTATAGGGCTTCCGGGGGCCCTCTACTGAGCTGGTGGGCTCGTTAAAGAAGTCCTGTGTCGAGCTGGAGTCCGAAAGTGCCACAGCAGTGCTATCCTGGCTGCGCTCTGAGGGGGAAAAAAAGGGAGAGAGGGTGGCAGCATGAACCACCACCTCAAACATGGAGGGGCCTACTAAGGCGAGTCTCCCTGCCGGAGGCCTGGTGACTGCCCTGCAGAGGAGACAGCCTAAACACAGCCACTCTGACACTGCCAAGCCCAACCTGTCCCGGAGGCCACCGAGCCACTCACCAAAGGCACCCATGTCCATGGTCAACCTTCCGGGAATTCCCCTAACAATGGTGTTCTGATAAATGTTTAACAATTGATTCAGGGGTAAAAATCCCTCATTTGTTGCATTTACTGATTTCTGTGGTGTAAATACTCCCACCATGGTTGATTTCCAGCTACCAATGTGATGTTGCTGAACATGGAGTTGGGAAGAGATGCACAGTAGAACATCATTATATAGTATTTCTACATATAGATACAGTAGGCATAAATAACTGAAGTGGATAAGAATCCAGCCAAAATTTTTAACCAGTTGCTAAAGGCCAAGTATGGTCTGGCACAAGAGTATTGACTTCTAGGAGTCACAGAAACAAGGGAGATTGGTATCTACTCGCTGATTCCTCTCCTTGGACTTCCACAATGCCCATGTGAAAGAGCAGAGGCAGGGCAGAAGGCTGGAGAAAACCTTCAGGGAATGCAGGCCTGGAGAAGAGGAGTGGCCACTGCCATGGGAAATGCATGAAGCCCCGGCTGGCCCTTCTGCCCTTAAGGAACAAAGCCTTAAGCCACCAGGGGAGGGGGAGCAATCTTTGTTGCCTCCAGAATACAGATGAAGACCCACTGTAGCTCAGGGAGGAGAAAAGAAAAAAACCTACCCTGAGAGAGGAGCAGGAAACATCCAAGAACCAAACATCCAGGTCTCCCACCACTGGGGGAGGAAGTGAATCACTGAGAGAGACCCACCTCCCAGACACAGGAATACAGTCTGCCTAAGTCTGAGGCTGGACCAAGACAACAGAGAAGGAAGCCTGCCCTCCTACTTGAGGCTACCAAGTATGAGTAACACATAAAGCAGTGTACTACAGGAAGAGGGACAAGAACATCGAGAGAAGGTGGAAATGGAATACTGAGAAAAATCTTGTAGCAAACCAGCTCCTACTCTAAGCATAAGGTAACATCAGAGGAATTTCAAGCTGGTGGTACACTTAAGGTAACCACAGCAACAATAAAACCCAACCCCCACGCAACTTCTGACTAGCCTAACTCAACTCCCCCCACTCCCCCTCCCTCTGCCAATGGCCTAGAAACAGAAGAGAAAAGCTCATTCCAGGCATAAACGTTTTTTAGTTCAGTCTCTCTGTCCTACACATGATATCTGGTACTTAATATAAAAATTACGAGACACGCACAAAAGAAAAGAACATTGTGAAGTGACAAAATAATCAACAAAACCAGACTCACAGATGACCTATATACTGGAACTACCTGATGGGGAATTTAAAATAACTAAGATTAATATGATTCATAAATATGATGAGTATGTTAAAAGGCTATAGTGGAAAAGGTGGACACATGCATGAACCGATGGGGAATTCAGGTGTGAGATGGAAACTATAAGCAAGAATCAAACAGAGATGCTAGCTATACAAAAAAAAACAAAAACAAAAACAAAAAACACCCAAAAAACAGTAAGAGAGATGTAGAATGCCTTTGTCAGGTTCTCGGCAGATGTGATACAGTTGAGAGAAAAATAATTAAACCTTGAATAGTCAGTAGAAATAATCCAAACTGAGTGAAAAAGAGTGGGGGGAAATCAGAACAGATCATCCAAGAACATTCAAATGATCTAATATATTAATTGGGATCCCAGAAGATGAGACAGAAACAGGACAGAAGAAATATTTTAAGAGATAATGACTGAGAATTTTCAAAAAATAATGAAAGATATCAAATCATCAAGATATCTCAGAGACCACCAAGCAGGTCAAAAACTTCTTCACACATTTTTGTTTTTTAATCACACCATTACATCATATTCAAACTGCTGAAAACCTATGGTATAGAGAAAGTCTTGAAGGCAGAGAAAAACATCATGGTACAGAGTAACAAAGTTAAGAATTACAACATAATTCTTGTTAGGCCATATTTAGGCCAGGAGCAGAAACCGCCTTATCTTAAAAGCCATCTTATCTTGTTTTGTACCCTGTACCTGCCAGCTTGTATTTGCCTTAGGCCTGGAGAAGCCACCTGGAATGTAGAAACCACCTTATCCTAAAAGCCATCTTGTCTTGCCTTATACCTTGTACCTGCTAGTTCACCGAAGAGTCAATTTGTCTCCTAGGGGCTTATGATCAGTGGGCCTGGGTGGGTCAGAAGGCGGCCTGAGGCCAGGATGTGGAACAGGAGGGCTTGGTCATGCCCCAAAACCCTTTGTTGTGATAGACAATGTAATGAAAAAAAACAACCCCTGAAGTATTGAAGGGGGAACAGCCTCCTTTACTCCCTCCCATATAACTCCATACCCCTTTTGCTTGGGGAGGTTATGGTCTTTTCTAGCAGCTCCCACAGCTCAAACATACCAAATAAATTCTAATAGGCCAATTTTGGTCTCCGGTGACTCATTCCTCCAGCAGTGCCTAACAATTCTCATCAGAAACTATACAAGTCAAATATCTATAAAGTACTAAAAGGAAAAAAAGTCAACCCAGAACTCTATATCCAGTGAAAATCTCTCTCAAAATGAAGGAGAAATAAAGACTTTTTCAGACAAACAAAAACTGAGAGGATTCCTTAACTATCAGATCTGTGTTACAAGAAATGTTAATTCTTCAGGGAGAATGAATTTATACCAGAGAGAAACGTGGATCTATAGAAAGAAACGAATTTCCTCAGAAATAAAATAATGATAAATATAAAACACATTTTTTCGTAATTTTAATTTCTCTAAAATATTGACTACTGTCTAAAGCAAAAATAGTAGCAACATATTCTGGGTTTACAGTATATGTAAAAGTGAAATGAATGAAAACAAGAGTACAGAGATGGAAAGTTCTTAAGTTAATACTGCACATGAAGTAGTATATAATTTAAAGGTAGACTGTGACCACTTGAAGATGTATTTTTGTTAACTCTCAGGCAGTCACATTTTTTTTTTTTAAGATTTTATTGGGGAATTGGAAGAGGGGAACAGTGCTGGAGAATCGGGGGAAGGGGAACAGACAAGTTGCTGTCCTTTTGTTCTTCAGTCTAGTTGTGGAGGACGTTGCTTCACTGGCCCATGTTGGTATTATCATTGTGCTCTTCCCGGGTGAGGCAGATCAGTCACTGGCCTCTGGACGGCCGCTCACGGCGGCTCTTGGCAGCTCACACCAGCTGCCAGCCACTCACGCTGGCTGCCAGCCACACACGGTAGCTCATGGCAGCCCACTGCAGCAGGAGCTACAGCCTACGACGTCGCCAGCCACTCACGGCAGCCCAGCGCCAGGTCGAGCTGTTGTTCACCATCTTAGCTGTAGAGGGCGCAGCGTCACTGGCCCCCATGTGGGATCTGAACCGGGGCCCTGCTGCTCAGAGCTGGTGTCCCAAGCCAGCTCTTAACCAAAGTGCCATTTAAACGGCCCAGACAGTCACATTTTTAAAAAGAGATAGAAATAATAAACCAATAGTAGAGATAAAATGTAAGCATTAAACAAATAAAACTTTGTTTTGTCTTAAACTCTGTGTATCAGAAGACAAAGCAAAGCTCAATGAAATGGGACTCAAGAAAGCTAAGTTCAAGCTCCTCTTGTGGCACTCACTAGTTGTGCGACCTTGAACAGGTAAATCCCTATCTAACCTATGAATTACAACCACATCTCATCTCAGAAAGGTCTATGCCACAGTGGCTTCTAGGAGAAAATCCAGGAGAAAGTCAGACACAGACCCCAGAACCCTCTAACCCTTTGCTCTGCTACCTTGAAAACCTGGTATTGGATGATGCATTAGTAATCTAGCAGGCAATTACCCAGTGCCAGGCAGGGGCTGCTAAGTGGGCAAACTTGTAACAAAATGTAAGGTTGTTTCAGGCTGCTCTGTCACTGACTAGGTTGGAGAACCTATGCAATTGCCTACTTTCTTTACACTTTAGTTTCCTCATATGTAAAACTGATCAAGTGCCCATTTCATAGAATTGTTATGAGGATTAAATAGGTTCATACATGTAAAGCACCTGAAACAGGGTCTGATGCTTCAAAGAACCTGAACCTATTTTATCTTTAATGTCTCAGACATGACATTACAGAGATTCAGTTCTGAACTTTGCTTATGCCATACTGGAGGCAACGCCTGAGCAGTACTACATTGATGGGGTAGTGACCGTTTCTTACACACTGACACGACAGGACCGTCCAAAGCAGGCATGCCTGCACAGAGGAACACTGGAAATTAGGCCTGTGCTTCCAGAGGGCAGACCACTGCTCCGGCTTCTTCACCCACATCTGGTGACAGACCAGGGTTTGGGGATGGCGACCTCTCAGGCAGCCCCATGTAGCCTGCTGCACTCTTTCCTCCATAGCTGCCTTTGCAATGTCCACTGCCCAGTAACTGTGGGTCATCAGTGTCAGCTGAGCTGATGGAGCATAAGAAACTGGGACATGGGGGCGTATGTGAGACCCAAGAGTGACCAACACAGAAGCTCTGTGTCTCACTGATGGGGGAGCAGGGACCTGGCTGGACCCCTCTGCCTCACATTAAGTAAGGGGCTCTTCCCTGACTCTCAAGGCCAGACCCCCAAGGCTCCATAAGCACTGAATGGAAATTATGGCAGGCCTGCAGCCCTCACAAGAAGTCCCAAACCCGAGTCCCCAGTGTGAGGTGATCACTACTCCCAGAGAAAGTGCTGGGGGCCGTCCATTCCTCGTGTGGAAAGGGAAGGCTGGTTACAGGGGCCACACAGGGTCATTGTCGGACCTCTGGACTCCCAAACCTGCATTCCAATCCCAGCCCTGCCGCTAAGGCTGCTCCAGGCCTCCACTTGACATTTTGTAATGTTTGTCCCTCCTCCTGCCTCAATCTTCAAA